TCACTTACTATGCTAATGTAGGTAAACCAGTAATTTTAAGTTCTTGACATAAAGCCTTATTATCTTCGCAATTCACTTCACCTACATTCACCTTATTTTTCAACTTTTTAGCCAAATCGATCCAAATAGGTTGAAGATTTTTACAGTGACCACACCAAGGTGCATAAAACTTGACAAACCAAGGCTCCTTACTATCAATAATATCTTGAATTTGTTGTGAGCTTGTGATTTGGACACTTTCGCCCTGTTTGTTTCTTTTAAAATCGTGTTTGACGACAAATTCGTTCACGTCGTCCAAAGAGAAATCCCCTTGATATACATGCCAGTTTCCTCCATTAAAATTAGTTTGGATACTGGGAACGCGTTCAACGCCCTTTTTCTTACAATAATCAACGTGATTAGCACAGTTTACTTGTCCGAACGAAGCATCAGGATGAGACTTGATAAGTTGTTTCCATTTAGGTTCTATTACACGATGTTAGGAATGACAAACTAACTTTCTCTGATCACTTACCAAACTCGTTACAGATACTACAGTCTGGAGTATAATATTCGACAAACCTAAACAAATAATTTAATATGATAAAATTTTACACTTTTATGCACTTACAAGGCGCCATCCCTCTTGACATCAACATCTTTAGGATCAAGTTCTTTAAGATCAATAGCTTGAGAAAAGCACTCAAGACTTATCAGAGCAGCAAGAATAGGTAAAAAACGAACCATGTTGGATAGATAATGAAAAAGAAAAAATAAATATCGCGCACAGCATGAAATTAAAAAATGAATAAAATTTTGCACGGTGAAACATAAATGACCTCATTTAGAAATCATATCCTCATCATTACGTTCTGTAACAAATAACAAAAGAAAGTGAACCATGATTCATACAGAATTATGGTTATATCTGAAAAAAAAAGGATATTATTATTCATTAGAACATGGTTATTTACACAAGTTTTTTATTTCGAGAGATAAAAAAAAAAAGAATTGAATAAAAATTAAGCATCATAAGTACTTGCAGAAACATTGCCACCTTTACCAGTCCAGTTGGTATGAACATGTTTACCAGGAGCAGATAAAAGTTCATAGGTATGAGCACCAAAGTAATCACGTTGAGCCTGAAGAAGATTAGCAGGAAGCATTTCATGACGAAGACCATCATAAAAGTTCAGAGCTGTGGAAAGAGCAGGAGTAGGAATACCTTCTGCAATAGCCATTGAAATAACTTCTCTCCATGAATCTTGAGCAGTAGCTGTGGCCTCTTGGAAGAAAGGGTCAAATAACAAGTTTTCAAGAGAAGGGTTGTTTGTGTAAGCATCTTTGATTTTACCGAGGAATACAGAACGAATAATACAACCGCCACGCCACATTAAAGCAATACCGGCAAAATTCAAATGCCATCCATAATCAGCGCCTGCTTGACGCATCAACATAAAACCTTGAGCATAAGAAACAATTTTAGAAGCATAAAGAGCTTCTCCAAGAGCATGAAGGAACTTTTTCTTATCGCCTTTGAAGTTGCCTTTTTTAGGTCCACTCAGAATCTTGGACGCACGCGTACGTTCATCTTTAAGGGAAGAGAGACAACGCGAATAAACAGCTTCCCCAATAAGAGTAACAGGGATGCCACGATCAAGGGAATCAATACCAGTCCATTTACCTGTACCCTTTTGACCAGCAGTATCTCTAATCTTTTCAACAAGAGGTTTACCGTCTGTATCTTTATATCTGAGGATATCACGAGTAATTTCAATCAAGTAGGAGTCAAGTTTTCCCTTGTTCCAACTGTCAAATGTATCAGCCATTTCATCAGCGGTCATACCCAAACCTTCCTTCATAATCTGATATACTTCACAAATCAATTGCATATCACCATACTCTAAAAATGGTTAAAATAAAAAATTAGCAAGTCATGAAACATGTATCAGTTTTTTTTTTCTCTCTCTCTTTAGCCCTTACCGATACCGTTATGAACCATCTTAACGTAATGACCAGCTCCTGATTCACCAACCCAATCACAACAGGGTGCACCATCGGGTGCTTTGGCAGCAGCAGCTTGAAATATGGGCTTGATGAAAGGCCAGGCTTTAGGATTACCACCAGGCATCAAAGAAGGTCCATAACGCGCACCTTCTTCGCCACCGGAAACACCAGAACCTACGAAAAGAATACCCTTTTCTTCCAATTCTTTACATCGACGAATAGAATCTGGAAAATGCGAATTACCACCATCAATGATAATATCACCCTCTTCTAAGTAAGGTAAAAGTTGATCAATGAAAGAATCGACAGGAGCACCAGCTTTGACCAACATCATCACCTTTCTAGGACGCTTTAATTTGGCACATAGGTCTTCGATAGATTTGGCTCCAATAACCTTAGTACCTTTAGCTTCATTTGCCAAGAAGTGATCTACCTTCTCTTGTGTACGATTGTATGCACAAACTACAAACCCATGATCGTTCATATTCAATATTAAATTCTGACCCATAACGGCCAAACCAATTAAACCAATATCTGCACTGTTTTAAATTAATAACTACTCAAAATAAAAATAAATAAAAAAAGACTTACGTAGCCATTTTATTACTATTTTTTTTTTTCAATAAGTCAAAAAGCTTTATATGTATGAAAAAAAAAAGAATTAAGATGTAAAAGAAAATAAGCTTTTCTTTTATAAGTTTCGGGACTTAGGTATGAGGTCAGACCGGAACAGATAAGGGTTTTAATTGTGCTCAAAAAATCATGCATGCTAAACAATAAATTTGAGGCGCCCAAGAAAATAGGTGTGGGAATTATTAATCCAATCACTCTGTTTACTAATTTCTTGGTAATAAGCCCGTATTTTATCTTTGTATTACTCGACACGAAATCTATTTGCAAAGGTTATATTCTCATTTGCATATTATACCTAAATACAAATAGACCGAAACAAATTTGTTTTTAAATAACTACTAAAATAAATTAGATAAGCAAATGGGGTTTTTTACATTGGTTTACAGAATTAAAAAAAATGTCTATTAGATGATACAAAGTGGTTTTATTCGAACGTTATCCTCTTATCCAAAAGAAATACAAACACGCCAATCACCGCCGTTATGTATATCGAATTATTTGACTATACATTTGTATATGGTGTGCATTCTGTTTCATTAAAAAATGATATATGTTAACTTTTCCATCTGGTGTATTGAAAATTTAATTTTCAAGTTGTTAAAAAATAATTCACTGCAAATTCGAATATATTAGGGGTATTCAGACCTATTTGTGCTAAAATCAGACAAATTTACGTTGGCCAATAAATTAATTTGGGTATGAACACCACACATGTAAAAAAAAAAAGTACAAATTGTTCTGCGTTTGTGGCGTTCAAATATAAAATCTGACAACTTTTTTTTAACCAATCAGATTATTTTAAATCTGTACGATTTTAGCTAAACACCCCTATTATTAACAACACTAAATTCAGTAAACTACGCTCTAGATACTTCATGCGAGAACAAACCTAGTGAAACGGGGAGACTAAAGAGTTAAGGATCTGTGCAGTGCTTATTAAAGCTCTACCTGTGTTGACACATTAAGCACTCAAATTTTGGCACTCTTACAAACCATATGTCTCCTCATTTCTGGAGATCTAGGGGAGTACTGTATACATAATACATCCATATTTCGATTATCATAATGTGTAATGAGTATATAAGGAAGAGAAAGCTTTATCCGTAACATAAATACAGTCTACATTTTTGACGGATAAGCATCATATATCTAGGCGACCCAGAAAGACCTTCATAAATCTTTATACAATCTAAAACAAGACATAAAAGAATGGACCCTGATAAGTATATAAAGACGCGTGTGAAATTTAATAAATAGCCTACGTCTGGTCCGTGCTTTAATATTTGATGCTGATTGAGACTCTTTTTATTTATTTTTTATACTTGTATTGCTTAATGCATTCATTTATATCACAGCCATATGATGTACCTATAACATTATGAAAATCGCTATTATATCTTTGTGCAGTTAGATTAGAACTACTTGCATCATATCCATGTGTGTTTGTTATATGCAATTTAATGAAACGATTGTTGAATTTGCTTTTGCACATTAGACATACAGCCCGATCTTCAAGTATCTAAAAAAGGATATTATTCTTGAAAAAGAAAAAGAAAAAAAAAAGGGGGGTGGGAGAGTACATTACTCGTTCCTTACTTGATATACATCTTAATCGAGAATTTATAAAAGATATCAATTCAAATCAATTAATTAAACAAAAACTTGCTGACAGACTTCATACTTATTCCAAAAAGACCTCAATTAATAATTCAAATGATCAATTAAAATATATGTATCTTTATGTGTGTAAGAAGTAATTTTAAGTTTAAATTTCGTAATTCGAAGCTTTGTAAGCAGTCGCTTTCCACAACAATCGTAATACTTTAAAGCAGTTATCTGATTATTGTCAAAGTTTTTTTAACAGTTGAAATCAAATCAAAGTTAGTATTATTATAGGCTAGGTATTCGTAAAATGATTTACATGGTGATTCTGTACTTTCCGTTAAAACTATATTTGCCTGCCAGAAATCTCTTACACCATGTAAATTCACCACTTATATAGGGATATAATATCGCTTCTTTTCAGCAGCTTCATTCCTTCCGAAAATCTGTTGTTGACATGATATAATAGCATCATATTTGAATCCGTTTTTCTAAAATAATTGTAGAATATAATTCACATAATACCATTTAAATGTATTTATACAAAAATAAAATGCGTACAAGACACCTCTGACTGTTTATCCAAGCTGAGACAAAGGAGTATGGTATAAAATGACAAAATTTATTTTTAATCAACTATTATCATATGTACACACAAACCATTTAACTGCTTGATCCTTTCACTGATATTCATAAGCACATCAAGTCACGTGAATATCACGTGTTTACATAAATTTTAATGATAGTAGGTAGGCCCTTTTTTCGGATCCGGGCACAGGGCCGATGTGTAGGAGTGGTTAACTTTCGTGATTCGGATTCACGAGATCCCGGGTTCAAATCCCGGTGTCGGCCCATATTTTTGAACATGGTAATGATGAACTTGATTTTTTTTTTAATTGCGTTTGAACTTTACCAAGCTTACTGCTTGAAGCAATATTTTTTTTTCTTGTGAGTTATAGACTTTTTACATTTATTTTGAACATCAGAAAAGACATTTTTTTTAATCTTCTTTTAACAAAGGCTTTAGAGTATTTTGAAAAGAATTTGGTTTTGAGTTTTGGTCTTTTGCCTGCAAAAAGGGAATAAAATAACTTGTCATACGAGCGAATGTTGCTGCTATCTTATGTTATGTTGTCTATGTTTTTAAAAAAAAATACACTAGAAATATGAATTCCAAAAAGCTATTCCACGCCTGATAAAGTGTCTACACCCAATACCTTTATTTGTAAGCCTGTCAAAACTCCACACCCGTGGGATTCCGAAAAAGGGGATGCTTTACGGGCGTGCATAACGGCTCTAATTTAGCATGAGTGAGAAATAGTTTCCAACCAGTACGTATAACCAGTATGACAACCTTCTTTTCTCTCGCGTAATTTAGAAAGTAAAAGTTGATAAAAAGGGAACTGGTTTACAATCAGAGATTTTCTGTAAGGTATAAGTAAACAAACGTTCCTATATTGAGTACGTAAAAAGAGCCAAAGATATAGTATTCCAATTAAAGCAATTATATTGCTAAGGTGTTTTTCCTAAAGTTACTACATGTATAATAGTCTATTTCAAAACGGAAAACTACTACTCTGACAGAACCTCCCAAATATATTCTACCATCTTTATTTTGCTGTCAATTTAGTATATAATTTTGTGTCTTGTACATTTGTATATGATTTATATTAGCCACCTATAACATGTGTATATTGTATCACACTAACATATACATAAGCGCACAATAAATCCGGTCTTTTTTAATTCTGACAAGTAATTCAATTTTATAATTTTCGTTTAAACAAAATATTCATACCTTAAGGTTAAGTTTTTTAAGCGTGGTTTCCGAGCACATTAAAAGCACTCGCTGAGTAAATAGAAGGCTTATGATTTGATATCATTATATAACAAAAATACGGATAATAAAAGTTTAACTGACTTTATTTGACAATGTCCCTTTCTATTGCCAAACTCTATTTTTTGTGTTGGATGTAATTAACTCTATTTTTTATTAAAAAAGAAACTTGTTTTACTGAAAGGATAATCAAAAGGGGAAATAAAAATAATGGTGTAAGCACCGCCTCCAAGAAAAAGGAAAATAATTGAGTTGTCGTCGAACGCTTGGTTTCAGGGATAGAATTAGAAGTAGATGTTTTAAGGTAATGAAAATACACATAACGTTTTTCCTCTCTCCATTTACTAGGCCTATAAAAGCTTCAAAATTGGTGATGAATATAATTACAACAGCCACATTTTTAAGTTGCTTTTTTTCCCCAATTATCTTCAAATTACACGAAAAATAAGGGCAAAATCAAATTAACTTGTCTCCTTCAAAGCTACTCAAAATAACTCTTGTCAAGATCCTCCAGGTTTATTCTTCAATTTCTTTTGTGTTTTTCTGTAATAATAAGAACAACAAATTACTTTGCATCATTTGAGGGCATACAATAAGTTAATTATTGCCCCCCTTTTTTTTTTTTTTTTAGAAAAGCATACTTTATATATTCTGTTATATACTAGAATTTACAATTTGTATTTCCTTACAATCTTTGTATTTTCAATGTACATACATTTCTTTAAAAAAGGCTCCATATCATGCGCGTTTAAACTGGCCGAGCTCGCGTCAGGTGCATAAATAATTAGAAGAATAGTCACATTCGCGTGACAGAAATGAAGAAGAAAGTGTCAAGGAACTGATTTTAATTCAACCGGGTCTAAGAAAGAACGGGGAGTGGCAACTTGGAAAAAGAGTTACTGGCGCGATAAAAAAGAAACAAGATGCCAATCCCTTTTCAGATATACCCACATGGTTGCAGGTATATAAAAAAAATGAGGAGATGTAGAAAGAGAGATATAATTATATACAAGAGGAGAAGAAGAAGAAGTCGAAGAACAAAAGAATATAGAGAACGAGGAGGATGATATTTTTTTTCATATTCAAAAAAAAAAAAAAATTAAACAAAGGAGATTATAGGAGACATGGGGGGAAAAAAGTGAGTGAGTGTGCGTGTGAGTTGACAATACTGAACCATTAATGTTCATATGTCATTTTTCTTATACTTGGGTACATGTTTGCATGTTTGTATATATGACGAACTTCAAATGCAATACAGAAAAATGAGCTATTACACACATAAATATATATAGTAATATTTACTCTCAACAAAGAAGTTAGATAGAATGTGCATATAATCCCTCAATATTTCCGGTATAATTTTGATTTTATCTCCTTTTTCAAGTGTTGTAGTAGAGTCGAAGAAAAAAAGTATGAATATATATATAACTATAAATATAAGTATATATGAATTTATATATCCACTCCTATGTAAATCCTAAAAATGGGTAGTTGTCATTTTATTGGCTAGGAGAAGATTTTATTATATATATATAATTCGGTCATGTATATATAGTGAGTGTATTTTTAGAAAGAAAGAAAAAAGATATATATATAAATACGTGTGTACGTGTAGAAGTGTTTGTGTATGAGCGTATATACATAAATACTCCTGATTATTAGTGTAGTTACAACACCAACAGCTGCATAACCAAAATTATATTAAATGCATTGCAATGGGTACATATTATATACCTCCAAAAATGGTAAATACTACAACGAAATATAAGCATAAATAAATAAACGTGTGGAAAAAAAAAAAAAAATCAAAAAGTGTTCATAAGCGGTATATAATTTGAGGGGGAAAATGTATAATTATATTTAAAGCTCCTTTCAGGATCCTTTTCCCCTATTGTTATATAGTAAAAATAATAATAATAATTATAATATTTCTCTCATTCTTTTCTTTATTTTTTTTCATTTTTTTTTCAAATAGTCATATATACTTTATAGTAATAGTAGTAGAAGTAGTAGTTATAATAATAGTAGTAATAATAAAAAAAATAAAAAAGGTAACAAAAAGTAAAAAAATTGATAAAAAGTAGAATAAAATGAAGTAAGCAAAAGCTAATCGATGTTACATATAGTATGCCTAGACCAAATCCATTTCTTCGCCGTGCCTCTACTCCGGGTGATATTAATCATGAAAGTAATCCACAATTATTACCAGTACCACCTATACCCTCACATCCAGCCAAATTAACGCAAGCATCACTTTCTGATTCTGCACTAAAAGTACCAGTTAGACCATCTACGTATCGAAATACACAATCTCGTATGATGAGTATTAGACCTTCTAGGTTTATAAAAGCGTCCACACCAACCTCATCTACATCTTCTCCTATTATTTTAAATGATACTAGTACAACTTCATCAGAAATGTCTTCATTTATTCGATTATTTGATACATATACACAGAAAATGTATATTGAAGGATATTTGATGAAACATAATGATAATCAGGATGATACCAAAAAACCACGTACTAAAATGTTTGCTGAATTATCTGGATCTACTTTAACACTATGGGATACAGAACTACCAGGTTCAAGTATTATGCCAAGTTATCTTCAAATTGTTGATACAACCGTAGTTTATTCTAATTCGATCATGACAGACGGTGGTAAAAAGAAGAAGCATTTGTTCTCAATCTATAATAAGAAATCATCGACTATTGTATTTGAAACTTCAGATGATCCTACTATGGTGAGATGGGTTAGTGCTATTAGACTTTCTTCGTTTGAAAAGCAAAAGTTACATCAATTATTTACATTAAGATTGTTATCCAATGGTAATATCAATCATACTTTAAATCTATCTTCTTCTTCTTTGTCCTCTACAGAGGACTCAACAAAGCATAATAATGTGACATCTACTTTTCTACAAGTAAGAGTACCTGGTACTTGCATTTGGCAAAAATATTGGGTTGTTCTAGTTGATAAAAAGAAGGATGAACAAAAGAATAAACGATTCGGTAAGAAATCTTCTTCAAGTGATATGAATGAACAACATATCCTTCTATATGAAACAAAGAAATCAAAGACACCCATCTTGACTTTATCTCATCTCACTCATGCCTTTGCTGTCTACCCTGAATCACCACAACTGATTGAAAAGGGCTCAATGATAAGAATTGACTGCAAATTGAAACATGGAAAATCAAGTAGCGCTGCTGCATCTAACTCAACTGAAGCATTATCTTCTACTTTAATTAATGAAGATGAAGGATATTGTTGGTTAATGGCAGATCATAGTCAGCTTACAATTCAATGGTTATTAGCTGTTTACGATACATTCAAGTTATATGGTAGACCAGAAACTTTATTAAATGATTCAATGAACCAAAAAGCGCTTAATTTTGGAGAACCAGCACAAGATATTAATACAACGGTCCACCCTAAATTATTTTTAGATACTGATGAAATTATACAATCCATGGATGTTTCTTTGATTAGTCGACATGACATTGAGAACATTATGAACAATGTGATTATGAAGAAGCAAGTTGATATCGCAGTTTCTATTACAAGAAGACCCACAGGTACAAGAGCTAATAGTTTACCATTAATTACGGTTATAACAGCAGAAGAGCAACAACAACAGCAACAACAACTAAAGGCAGGCTCAGACGAAATTTTTATTTCTCCAGCTGATGTTACCAAATTGGATTTGGATGATCAACCAGCGCCATTTAAATTTGCACGACATGTAGCAGATTCAAGTGATGAAAGTGAAGAAGAAGATGAAGAAGATTGTGATGAAGAAGACGAAGAGCAAGATAGTGATGATGAACCGATTTGTAAAACGAATACAACTAATAATGTAACGAATACAAATATATCATTACCAACTACAACCAATGATACATTGGCTGATAGTTTAATTCCTGATTTTGATTTTGGTAACGGATTTGATGTTCCAAGAAATATTACAGCCGCAGCAGTTGCAGCAGCAGTTAATGCAACTAGTATATCTA